GAAGATAGCTGTTTCACAACAAGGCATGTTTCAGAACAAATCAACGAATGTGAACAGCTGATCAATAAGGTAAATTCCATTCTTGAATCACTTAATATTCCTGTATCTAGATACAAAACAGAACTTAACGATCTAAAATTCACCTTTTCAAATATAAGCAATGGTTTAAAGCGAACCCGGCTATCAAACTCTAACCTAACCGATCAATTGAGCAGGGCAACATCCAAGAGTGAGGAGAGGCGTATATGGATCCAGAAGGTTGAGTCAGATTTGTCTAAGTCTAGGGACGAATCTATTTATTTGCAGAGAGATAATTTAATGCTTTAAAAAAACGAAACATTTTTTGTTTAATTGCAAAAAGGCTTTACTTTAATATTACTCAACAACACCTTGATTGTGAAATCGGTAAGAAAATCCATAAAATGATTTTGCCATTTCTAGAATTAAAGGAAGACGAAATAGACGCAGACTGTTACAATTGTGAATCTATTGTTTCGTCTAAAGAAACTTCTGATGCATGCAAAGTCAGACTTGAACGTATTGAAAATTACAGTAAGTCCAAGGACCACAAAAACATGTTGAAACAACTTTTGGATGAAAATGATAAAAAGTAGATCAAATATGATACTGTGCAAAAATTTGATTCATTGAATGCCAACTTGAGTTCAGAAAATAAATTAAATGTGGAAAGCACTTCTAAATTCGATGAGGATAATGATATGAGTACATTTCTGTAGAGGATGTGGTTGACTGCTCAACATTTGTTAAAATTGAATCTTAACCTGTGAAAGCTCTTATTTCTGAAATTTTTGTTGAGTTCCCAAGAGTTGTTCAAAACAAACTTGAAATTTTGAAAGTAAAAGAAACTGTTTTTCCAAAAGTTCAAACAATTCCAAATCAAGTTTTCAAAGTCAATGGAATAACCGAAAATCAAACCGTCGAGCTGAAGACAATTATCGACGAAGACAACAAAAACGGATGTACACTTTTGGTCAGTTCCCATAGATAATGCTGAAAAAAACATTGGTTTATCTGAAAGAACTTCTTGGAAAGTCAAAGGGAGATACATGGTCGAACCCTTAAATAATCACTCAACATTTGCAAAAGGTAGCCCAAGTGGTACCAAGGAGGTTCGCAGCGAACCTAACCTAGTGAAGAGCGAACCCGATGTGAGAAAATTGAATCCAAAGGTGAACATTCACAAGTCATCAAAGCAACTTGTTGACCAAAAACGACAAAGGAATGATAGATATAGAAGAAATCTAATTGAAAGGAAACAATTTTGGCAATCTCAAAATTCAGATTATGTTCGCCACGAAAGGAGAATGAACCACAAAGCGAAAGCTCCTTCGTAAGTGAACTCCAATCAGTGTTCTCATTGTCGTTCCCATAGTCTAAGAGACTCTCAGCAAAAAGGGACTCCAAAAACCTTCTTCTCAAAGCAAAAAAAAAAAAGGAGAGACCAAAGCCTTATCACTCTCAATCCACGAAGTTTATAACTCATAATGTCAAAGGAAAGGGAAATCTTTCTTCAAAGCCGAAAACTCCAACTAAGAAATCAAATGCTAACCCTAAAGAAGCTGAAAAGGAGGCCATCAAGAATCAAGCTGACAATAAGAATAAAACTTTTGATTGTAAAGAAACTAACTCAAAAGTTAACAAAATCAAAGTTTTCACCATCAAATGAAAAGATGAAATCACTCTTATAAAACGAACATATATGGTTGATCTTGATATTACTTTTCCTAGTTATGCGAAAGGCTCACAAGGACCCAAGAAACTTTGGGTTCCTAAATCTGCTTAAATTTTGCAGGTTATTCGTGACGAACAGTTAGACACAGAATGGTACATCGATAGTGGTTATTCACGTCACATGACAGGAAGAAAAGAGGAACTGCTAGAGTTTAGGGCTCAGAAGGATGGCAGATACGAATTGGGAATTCTCTATTCATAAAGTGGCTTATGTTGAAGGCTTGCAACACAACCTAATCAGTGTCTCGTAGTTGGTGGTAGGAACCGGATTGAAAGTGTCATTTGATGATGAAGGATCAGAAATCGTTGAAAAGAAATCCAAGACTGTTCTTATAAAATCACAATGAAAGGGTGAAATGTATCCACTGAATCTAAACCCGATATGAGGAAAGCCTTTCATTTTCCTGCTTACAAAAGCTCACTTAGACGAAATATGGTTATGGCATAGGCGTCTTTCGCACTTAAACTTCAAAGACATCAACAAGCTCGTTCTTGGTGATCATGTGCGAGGACTTCCTTTATTGAAATTCGACAAGGATCATTTGTGTGCAGCCTATGAGATGGGAAAGCAAAGTAGAAAAAGTCATCCTACTATTGTGAACATGAAAGTCATCGAACCTTTGGAACTTCTACACATCGAACTTTGTGAGCCTTCTACTATTGAAAGCATTGGTAGTAGTAAGTACATAGTAATTGTAGATGATTTTTCACGTTTCACTTGGGTGTTCTTTCTTAAGCAGAAATCTAAAGCAACGCTAAAGATCAAGGACTTTATTAAGCAAATCGAGCTTCAACTACGAAAGCTAGTTCGCAACGTTCGCAACGACAACGGGTTACAATTCAAAAACCAAGCGTTTGAAGAATTTCTTGCTGAAAAGGGAGTCACACACAAATTTTCTGCTCCCAAGACTCTACAACAGAATGGCGTAGTCGAAAGACGAAACCGTTCCTTATGTGAAACTGCATGAACCATGCTAATGTTTGCATGGCTGATGCGATAGCTACCGCTTTCTTTACCCAAAATCGATCCATCCTAAACAAGCGATTCTCAATAACTCCTTATGAAATCATAAATAATCGCAAACTTAACATTAAGTTTTTCCACGTTTTTGGCTCCAGGTGTTTCATATTTAATTCCAAAGAACAATGGAACAAGTTCCATGTGAAAGCTGATGAAGGTATATTCTTGGGATATTCACTAACATTCAAGGCATATAGGGTTCTCAACAAATGCTCAAAGAAGATAGAAGAGACCTACTATGTCACGTTTGACGACAGTTATCTAAAGTGAATTCAGTCGAATGAAAGTCAGATCAAGGAAATCTTTCCTAAACCTTGTCCAACTATAATTCCTATGTCCAACCTTTATGAAGAGTTCATGTTACTCTTTGATGAACCTGAGAAAGCTATCACATATGAAGCTAAGGCAGCGGATAATAAAGTCGATGAACTTAATAAGACTATTGATGATGCTGAGAAAGACATGCCTCAATAGCCGTCCACTGCAAAATAACCTCAAGACACAGGTGCTACTTTCTAGGGGGAGAATTCTTTAATTAGTCTCTTTTGATCACTAAATAAATTTCAAATTAATTCTTGATCAATACAAATTAAATAATATGATTTCTTAATTAATATATTATTCATATAATATATTAATAAATCACAAATAACCTCTTTCTCAAAAATCCATCCTATTAAATTGCTATAGTGAAGGCAACCCAAAAGGACAATGCTACTATCGGGTCAAGTACATACAAATTATAGTTATGGGCTTAAACATATAATCCAACAGGATTGTGGTGACAACTCAAACTAAATTATGAGTTGGCTTGGAAAACCCATCGAGGAAATACGTGAGGAGTAACTTAAGTTATTTGTGAAGTTGAATTTTGAGGACAAAATCAATTAAGTGGGGAAGAGTTGTAACACAAGTTTTTAGACGTGTTATTTGGTAATTGCAAGAAAATTAAGAGAAGAGGATTTATGGGAAAACCCCTAGTTTGCGACACGTACTTGGATGTACGTGCGACACATGCCATGTTGTAAGTCGTGACATGACTAAGTATAGGTCGCGTTGCAAAGTTGCAAAAAGCCCAACCCATGATATCGAGCCTTAAGCCTTATTTAAAGACTCTAACTCAAAGAATTTCTCTCATTTGTGACTAAAAACCTCTAGAAATTTTAACTCGCAAAACCCTAGCCGCTCTCATCCTATTTTGGTGTTCTTGGTGCAATTTGGTGAAGCTTGAGGAAGAAACAAGAAGATTTGGTGCACTAAAAGCTAAATCTAGAGAATATAAGCTTTCTTATCATCTCTTTGTGCTCTATAAGTCATCAAGATCCTACCTTTAAGGCTTTTCCATGCTAGGTTTAGTATTTTGAGCTTAATGGGTCCTTTTTCCTCTTGATTCCTTAGAGTTTGGATAATTCCAGGTTGATAGATGGTTTTGACTATTATTTTGGACCCTTAGTGGTGCATTGTGTGTGTGACCAACTTCCCATTTGACCATGCATGAAGATTGTATCATTTTGGTCGAATTTTAGACTTAGGTTTAGAAATGGTTGTGTTTTAGGCATGCAAATGAATAAAGTTGGAAATTTTATCCATTATGTCATTATTTCGATCTGATCTGAAAAGTTAAAGCCTTAGTCATAAGGTATTAAGAACTTAATGGAAAGATGATTCTGCCTCAGATTTTGGGACATGACCAATGATGGGTCGTGACACGAGTTTTGAGTTGAGACTGTTTTGACATTTTGTGGTAGCTTCATGACCAAGAGTTGGGTTTCACCGCGGATAGCCTTTGACCATTGATTTTTTTTTTATCGATATAAGTTTTGGTTAAATTTTAATGGATTTGAGTGTTGGACTGAGTTTTGGTCTCAATTGAGGGTTAGGTGGTTTGTGATAACTGGTCCACTTGTAGAGGTCACTGTTGAGTTCTGTTACTAGAATCATATGAGTTTTCTCACTATACTATGTAGGATACTAGGTTTCATGGACTCATGATATGTTAGATTGTCTTTGTGGCCTTCTATATGAAGAGTATCGGTGCCATAACACTTGTACGAAAGACCATGGCGACCATATCACTTGCATGAAATACTATGTGGGCCATAACACTTGTATGAAAGACTATGGGGCCCATAAAACTTGTATGAAAGACTATAGGTCCATAATACTTGCATGAAAGACTATGGTGATGTCATAACAGGAAAGACGTAGTGAGACTGTAGTACCAAAAATGGTTGTAAGACTATGGTTGAATCATAACATTCATATTGGATGTGTGGTATCTTGAAGAACTCACTAAGATTTGCGATTAATCATTTAAGTTTAATGTTTTCAAGTGTTTGGCTGCAACGGGAAGGGCATGGTTTGATTGCATCGTATCCATGAATATGTTTTGGAGACTTTTGCTGATTTGATTTTACTATCATTATATTACTATGGTTTGATCATCTTTTTTCATAACAAATGAATGCTTAATCATACTTTTTGGGAATAAGATTTGCATGATCACCTTTATTTAAAAATGAAAATTTTGGATTAAATTCACGACGTTACAAAGTACACATATGTTTGACATGTAATCATATCATTACCAATATTGGTACAAAAAACTGCCTATTTATCCTTATTTGAAAAATCAACCATAAATTAAACCCATTTTTATATAAAAAAATATTTTAATCAAAGAAAAAAAAGCTTAAAAAGCTTGAAACTTTTATGTAAACAACCTTTCTAATCAAGCAATTATCACTTGATTTGGTTAATTTGTGCCCAAAACCAAGTGGAATACGCGTGGGCTGGGCCAGGTATACTGTCATTCCATAAAACCTCCAAGCTCCCCCCCTTCGTACCTCTCACATTCACCACACTGCTTCCTCCAAATTTCTCGCGCCACCCGCATCCCTATCCTTCTCCGGTAAGCTACCTTTCTGCGTTTTCTTTTTATTTGTATCCCTATCGTTAATCCTGTTCTTTTCAATCTCTTCTGCAACCTTGGTAAATTAAATTCTTTTTATTCTTGGTATCAGTTACGATTATTTGTTGTCTCTGGGTTATTCGCGTCCAACGTTAGGGTTATTCCACTCGACCGACTTCTATAATCTAGGGTTTCTGTGAATCTTGTACTGAAATTACACTACGTTTCCAAGATTTAGGTTTTCGTTGACTTTTGGTTTGGATCGTGGTAGTGTTCTCGACTTCAAAGTTGATTTGAGTTCTTTTTTGTAAATTAACTCCGATCTTGTCTGGTTTCTTACACTTGTTTCAGATTAACACTACTAAAACTCAACTCTAGTGTTGGTTTTTTGTTTCAAATTATATCCGATCTTTTTATGTTTAGCGTACTAATTGGGACATTCATGGAAGCAAGAGTCCTATTATTATCTTCTGGGGTTTGATTGTTCTTCTAATCTATAGTTATTCTATACAGGAAACAAATGTCTTTTGCCACCTCCTGCGCACATAAGTGGTTACATTCTCGTGTGCACTTGATGAACCGGGGAAGACTGGGAAGCTTTGGGTGGATATTTTTCCGCCATTGGACCTGATAACGATTAAGAATTTTGTGTTTGTTGTTTGCTAGTTAGTTATTTAAGCAAAAGATTTATTGGTTTCCATAAGATATTGATTTTTGAACATTTCATTAGTTTTTTGTTTCAATGGAAAGATCATCTCTCATTCCGGGGTTTCGGTTTCATCCTACTGATCATGAGTTGGTAATGTACTATTTGAAGAGGAAGTTATTGGGGAAGAGAATCATTGTCAATGCTGTTGCTGAGGTCAATATTTATGAGTTTAGTCCCTGGGATCTTCCAGGTATTAATCTTTCTTGATTACAAACTTTGCAGATGCTTTATAGGATCATTCGCAGACACTTGTAACTCTACTTCCTGCATTCTGCATCATTACATACATACACTTTACCTACAACTTCCTCCTAAGTCCTAACATAGCACAATGTATGCTAAATCATCTAATGCTATTTTTGTAGTTTCCTTATAAACATTTTATATTGTTTTAGTAAAAGAATCATGCAATTTTTTTTCCAAACAACATGTAACATCCTTCTTTCTTCATATACTCAAATCCCTTTGGTATTTTCTACATAAAAAAATGATACACACTAACTGCTTGATCATCATAAACTGCTAGCCCCTTCATTGTTTTCCTTAGTACTTCTCTTCTGATCTTTATCTAAGAAGTGATCTTTATATTTACTTACATATAAGTATTCTTTGCCCAACCTGACTTATTGACAAAAAGAATTAACTAAATAGTAAAAAATACATAATCAACATACAATGCAGCTCATTATGTCACTGTAAACATAAGGTAAGATAGATCATCTCCAAATCATATCACAATGTATACTTACAATTTAACCCTTGTTCTCATTCATTTACATCACCTTTAAATATCATATTATCATTTACTTCCATAGGAGTATTCAACATCATAACGTAGTTTTAACGTTGTCATAGTTTAACCTTAGGCACAACATCATTACATAGGTGCTTATACTTGCACTATTTTGTTTAGGCCTAGGTAGCAAAGCAATATCTAATTTGCTAAAACATATGCTCTGATACCAACTATAACATCCAGAAACAATGTACTTTCATTAGAAAAAGGAATAACAGGAATCCTGAATTCTTAAAACTCCTTAAACCAAACATAACATGAAAAAAGCATAAGGGGTATTAATCTCAAACATCTTATACAAATTTCAAATGTCCAATCCATGCTATTTTCATAAAACAATAAAGCATCATACAATACATTGGTTTGTAGTGATTAGAAACTTTAAACAATGGCTAAATACACACCCAAAATATAGATATGGCATCTATCATCCAAATCTTAATCATTTAACTACTTTTGTGCATTGTCTTATCTCTTAACCAAACTTATATCTGCATAACTTTTGCCTATATTTCTTTTTTTTTTTCCTTATAAATTTATTCTGCTGGAATCTTCAGATAAATCCTCATTAAAAAGTGGAGACTTGGAGTGGTTCTTTTTTTGTCCGAAATCAAAAAAATATTCAAGTGGGGCCCGATTAAACCGGGCAACTGAATCTGGGTTCTGGAAAGCCACTGGGAAAGACAGGAAGGTTGAATACAAAGGAAGAATTGTAGCAAGAATCAAGACTCTGGTTTTTCATCTAAAAACTGCATCAGATGGACAAAGAACAAACTGGGTCATGCACGAATACAATATGGAAGATCAAAAGTTAGCTGATGAAGGCGTTGTTCAGGTATTTTATTAGGGTTGTTCAGTTTATATCTCTCCAATTTAGCAAAAACTAATGGTTATATTATAATGTTTTAACACATTGTATTTCAGGATATGTATGTGCTGTGTAAAATCTTTGAGAAAGAGGGTGCAGGGCCGAAAAATGGTGCACAATATGGTGCACCGTTTAATGAAGAGGAGTGGGATGATGACGTGGCAAGCTGTTCTGGGCCCACAAACAAACTGGATTATAAGCAGAAGGGCCCACTCACCCTGTCTTTAACTGAACCAGGTTCATCTACAGTCACATATTCTGCAAATGAGACTGTAAATTACAAGCAGAAAGGTCCAGCAGTTACAATAAACAAGACTTTACCTCAAAGTACATGTACCCTAACCGAACCTGGTCCATCTGCTGTTGCAAATGCAATGGATACACCTGGCAATGATGATGATGTCATGCTTTATGAAGACCTAGCCTCGATTTTGGGGGTGCCTACTGGTGGCCTTAATAGCAACAAGAAAGACAAGGTAAACCTTTTGATCTAGGAAGGGTAAAATGGTGATTTTGCTTTTTCTTGTGTTTGTAGATTGATCATATTTGTATTGTTTGCATGCAGCAGGGGGTTGAAGTCAAAGGCGTGGGATTGGGACCCAATGAAGATGAAGGTATTTTTGGTGACTTGGTGAACTTGGTTAATCTGGATGACTTTGTAGGAGCTGAATTAAATAGGTTTGAGACTGATGGAAGTGAGTACACACTGGGCATGATGATGGGAGCTGATGATCTTGATGTTGATCTGGGAAGATTTTGTGTTGATTGAAGGGATGGTTTTTGGATGATGATTCCTAATCCTGACTGAAGCTGTTTTTGTTATTTGGTGGCCAATGTATGACTCTGACTGTTTGGCCTAATTTATGGCTTTAAATTTGCTGGATTCTTTCTTTGTATATTTTGGATTTCCTCAATAAATATGTTTCTTTCTATTATATTATGATGTTTGGTTGAAACCTATAAGTTATTGAGAAAGCCAAGAGATTTACTTTTCAATTCTCAAGGGATATTTTGGCAATTTTCAATGAGTCGGCAATACCCTCTGCAAACTTGTTCTTCGGGATTGGATCTTCAAAGAGTGAATGTCAAAGAAGCTTCTGCGGAGTGAAAACGAATATCTGAAATCTGACCCTTTTAAATACATGTCAGATTCATTTTCTCATGTTTTATTACTCTAAATACGATTATTAGCTAAGATAAATTTATATTTAAATTGATTTAGGTTTTGTGTTGTAAGTTGATGTTTTGGATAGTGATTGTTAACAAACTAAAAATGTCTAAATACTGGTTTTTAAAAGAATGTAATACTTTAATTTTTTTAATTTGTTTTTTGATAGGTAAAATAGACAATAAAATAAATCATTGTAATTTCATGAAATTGAAGTTAAAAATGGATTTCTGTATTACATAATTACCCTTGAGAATTGTGATGGGAGGTGTTTTGGGCCCAAGGTGAGGAAGGCATCTTTTGCCAAGAGTGAGAAAATGTGATGAATCTGGGCCCAATTGGAAAAAAACCTTTTAGACAATCAGCTACGGATCCAACGAGAAGCAACAGGGGTGAGGTGGCACTCATCAACGACGTTATGATACGGGGAACACTGTCCCCCCTATTCGTTATTGCTCGTCGAGAGTGGATCTTGTGGCCAAGGCGACATGATGCAACGAGTAAATTTAAATATTTGATAACGTTTAAATTGCAACGGTTATAAAAAAAATTAATTATTGAAAAAAAACCATTTATACCCTATAAATACCTACCATTTTATAAAAAAATTCACACATTTTCTCTTCTCCACTCTACATATTATCAACTATCTTCGAAAAAAAAAATATGGATCCTTTCGACTCGTCTGATGATTCAGATGACGATATTTTCTTTAGGATGATGTATCATTATTACACTACCCACCTGCTACAACCAGACTCAGCTCCGCTACTAACAAGACGTGCGATGTTAAACATAAATTGCGAGGAAGGACACGAACATCTATATCGCGATTACTTTGCAGATAATTGTGTATACGTGGTGAAGGACTTCAAAAGAAGATTTCGTTTGCGTAGGGATGTGTTCTTACGAATCGCCAACGCCTTGGAAAGCCGACATCGCTTCTTTACTATACTTTTATACAAAATAAATAAAAATGTACTACATGTTTCTTTAATTTTACAACATATGCAATATATTTTTAAACTGTAGTTTATTTATGTTTAGGTACAAATTTTTTCAATTAAGATATGATGCTAGAGGTAGACGAGGGTTTACAACGTTGCAGAAATGTGCTGCGGGCATTCGTTTGATGGCTATGGGGGAGTCACCCGACACCATGGACGACTATATGAGAATGTCCGAAAGAACCGCAAGAAAGAGTTTGTATACATTGTCAAGGGGTGTTGTTGAAACTTTTGGAGACGTGTATTTGCGGAAACCTTCGTTGCATGATTTGCAAGAATCGGCGCATGAAGAACGCCATGGGTTTCCCAGAATGATAAGAAGCATTGATTGCACACACTGGAAATGGAAAAATTGTCCGGTAGCGTGGAAAGGGCAATACGCAAATGGTCATCACGGATCACCTTCGTTGGTGTTAGAGGCTGTCGCTTCTCAAGATTTATGGATTTGGCATGCATTTTTTGGGGTTGCAGGTTCCAGCAACGACGTCAACGTTCTTGATAAGTCGCCAATATTCGACGATCTTTTGAATGGAAAAGCCCCGGATGCTCCTTTCACGATAAATGGAAATGAATACAAATATGAGTATTACCTTACAGATGGAATATATCCTCAGTATTCCACATTTGTGAAGACATTCCGCCACCCGGTTGAAGAATGAGACAAATTTTTTAAGAGAAGACAAGAAGGAGCATGTAAGGATGTGGAACGTGCTTTTGGAGTGCTGAAGGCGAAGTGGCATATAGTCGAACATGCAACACGATCATTGGATTTAAAAACTCTACGATATATCATGTATGCATGTATCATAATGCATAACATGGTAGTAGAAGATAAAGGGAGAAATATTGCACAGTAGATCCTAACAGAGCCCAGATACGTTCAGTTTCAACCAGGAACAACAGATTATTTGCATCGCGTTGTTGACATTCAGGACGCAAATAAACACATACAACTTTGAGAGGACTTGGCGGATTATATCTTCTATAGTAACAATAACGATAACGAATAGCGTTGTCTTTTTTTATTTTTTATTTTATTTTATTTTATTTTTGAATTTGGATGTTATTTCTTTTTTTTTTTTTTTTGTTTTTGGATATTATGTGTAATTTAGTCTTTATGTTAATTTTAATCTTTAAAAATTTTTAATTGTTTTTTATAATTTTTAAACATTATGTTTTATTTATTATTTATATTTAAAAAATATTTGTATAAGTTTAAAAAAAATCAAAATACATAAAAAATAAATTATAAAATGGTAAAAAATTTGGTATCATAACAAGATACAACATGTTGCCCATTTCTCCACTTGGTGTTATAACACCATTGATGATGTGATATGTGATGTGACACCAAAATGGTGTTACGTCTAGTTGCCCACACCTTACACTCTTATACCTTACACTCTTATGTACTTTCAAGTTCGAAACTGTTAGCTTCAATTTCCTAATTAAGCCGCACAAGGGCATTTAGTAATTTACACGTGGGTTAGTTAGTTAGACGTTGGACTTGCTCATTTGTTAGTTCCCGCCTATTTTGTTGTATATAAAATAAATATTACAAAAATAAAAATACAAAAAGTAAGACAGGTGTGTATTGCCGATAAGAGAGGGATGCGACTTGTTTCCTCATATTTGTTTTCCTTAAGGTTCTTAAAAGCATGGTTTCATTTGGCTCCAATATTTGTATTTGATATCAAATTTTGCCTTAAATCATAGGTTAATGTCATAAAAGCCCTCAAATTTTCAAGAAATGTTTGGTTATGTCCTAAGTTCATTTGTGTCTCCACAAAAACCGCACATTTAGATAAAAATTGTCATAATTGCTCTCTTTTCCGATTTTACCCTTCTATGACATCAGGGGATGTTTGGTTCTAGGATTAGGGTCTTGTGTTTGGTTTTCTCAGCCCACCGCACCCTCACCCTTTTCTTCTCCGGTACATTACACAAGAGAAATGCATCATTTTCCCCCTTTTCTTCATCGTTGATATTTCTTCTCTCTCCTATTCCGGCAGCCGGCCACCAGCGGCCACCGTTACTGTTAAACCCCTCGTGCTACCACCAATATCTGTTCAACCTCTAGAAATGTTCTCGGGTCATTCAATAACCACCAGAAACGTCACCACCATTGTCGGCCACTTCAACCCCAGATCCATGGCCGGCTTTAGAATTTACAGGTTTTCAAAACAATTTCGTTTTCATCTTGGTTCATATGAAGGATCGCTTTGATTTTGCTGGTCTATAGTCTTGAATATCCTGAATATCTGATACGACCAGAGGTGGTGGTGAGACTTGGTGAGGATGAGAAGGATACGAGCATACAATAAGGGGGAAGAAACGATAATAGAAGTGAGTTTTGTCCCACACCTACAAAGCCATCAATGAATCTGGTTTTGAGTTTCAATGTTGGATTTTGATTTCACAACACTGACCGATGATTCTCGGGTTCTTACTCAAATTGATTTTAGATTATGGCATAAATTCTATTTCAGATGATCACCTCAAGTCGATTTCAAATGCAAATTATCTTTGTGGGGTTTTACATCTTTTTTTGTTAGATTTTTTGTTTTTTACTTTACAAAATGGCTTCATAGAAATCATCTATCTATCTTTGTTATTTGTTTTTAGTAACCCACAGAAAACTTTGCTTCACCACAACTGTAAGAAAAATAACAACAAATGTTAAATTGTGAGTTTTATGTGACTAAATCTATTTATTTGTTTGGTTTTCCTGTTGACTCATCAATGATTATAAGAAAAGAAAGAACTAATATTTGGATGAAAAACGGTCATCATAGTAACACGAGAAGTGGTGGTCATAATTCCGGGAAGAACCAAACCTCCCTAATGTCATAGAATGGAAAAATTGGAAAAGAGGGCAATTATGATAATTTTTGCCCAAATGTGCGGTTTTTGTGGACACAGAAATGGAGTTAGGACATAACAAAACATTTCTTGAAAATTTGGGGGCTTTTATGACATTAGCCCTAAATCATATATATGTATTATATATATATATATATATATATAATATATATATATATATATATATATATATATATATATATATATATATATATTGAGTCAAGATCAAATAAGAAGGAAAATTTTGGTAGGAAGGTAAGAAATTTTTTATATGCACATTTTCTTAGCAAAAAAATAAAATGAATCATTAGATGATTCAAAAGTAAGATGATTCACAAGAAAAAATTCCAAAAAAAAAAACATCTTCATGATTCATTTTTAGGTAAATCAAGAAAAAAATTCACTTTTATGACAATTTTAGTGAATATCAACAAAATCATCATAAAAATGAATCATCGAAATGTTTTTTCGGGATCTTTTTTGGTGAATCATGTTATTATTGATTCATTTGGTGATTCATTTATTTTGTTCGCCAAAAAAATAAGTCGAAACAAAATTTCTTACCTTCCTACCAAAAAAAATTTCTTACAGGATATATATATATATATATATATATATATATATATATATATATATATATATATATATATATAGAGAGAGAGAGAGAGAGAGAGAGAACCATTATCAATGGTTTTTTAAAGAACTATTTTTTTTTTAAGTTTTAGAGCTTAGTCTTTAGATCGGAGGGTGTGGGAGGGAAGCTTCCCTCACTTTTTGTAGGCCATACATTCATTTCCCTCACCTAAAAGCCAAGAAATTGGTGGGAAGCCCTTTCCTCAATTTTTTTTTTGTAAAATATATTGCATACATATATTATACTAATTTTATAGGGAATTAAAAACCATGAGTTTTGATATATTTTTTAGTAGGTATATAATTTTATAAATATTAAACAAGATAAAAAAAATAAAAATAAAAAATAAAAATAAAAAAAAACCGACCAATAGCATGAAGGGAGAGAGTGCGGCACCCCCTCCCCCAATCTCTTTCCCGCAATTTTTTTCCCTCGCCTTTCCCTCACCCACGGAGTTGTGTGCAGGAGTGAGGGAAGCTTCTCTCACCTCTTTCCCGCACCCACTCTGTGCAGCCTTATAATATATATATATATATATATACATGAATTCATAACTTCACTTTGTGAATGCTAAATATATTTTTCGGATTCACTGTCTGAGTTCAAATCTGCACAAATTCGCACTGTGAATTTGACGAAAAAAAATAATTTTTTTAATTGAATTTGATATCATTTGAAAAATGATAAAAAGTTATGAATTTCTGTATTTTTATTTTGTTTTTTTGATAAAAAAATAAGCTCTAAAACTTGAAAAAAATATTGGTTTCTTAGTTTCATAGTTAATAGTGTTTCTATATTAAACCTCAAAATACACACACACACACACATATATATATATATATATATATATATATATATATCATCTATTAGACCTTATGCTAGACTCCGTACATATTTTTTATAGAGTTCTATAAACTTAATTTTGCACCACAAACTGTTTTAGCAACTACATATAGTCTTGATATTGAAATTTAATATAAAAAACTATTGTGAAACATTAAAAGTGTTCATTAAAAAACTCAATAAACTTCTTTACATAACTTATAAAAAAATCATATATGTATACATAACATAAGTGTCAAAGAAAGTTATGAAGGTTACTAGAGGTCTAACAGAAAAACACATTTGAAATATATATATATATATATATATATATATATATATATATATATATATATATATATATATATATATAAAACTTAAATATATACAAAATTGTCGTCTTATGTCACCCATTAAAAACAATGTGGCTCGCCACGGCTCGTAAAAGTTCAGGGTTTAACATTATCGTCAAGTCATATCTAACGTTAATTAAAACCTTTGTTTTTTTTTTTCTCTCTTTCCCAATCCAAACTATATCACCTTTTTCTCTTCTTTTTCAACAAAAATAGAACCCTTTTTTTAAAATTCTCATCATTCAATTATTAAATCCACCCCTTTAAAAGAGAGAGATATGAGATTAGATGGGTAAGTGGATTTTTTTTTTCTTTCTATGTGTAACTTTTCAAGAAACATAACAACATTGGATTTTCAAAACAAAACAACTCAATTAAAAGCATAACTAACAAATCAAACTCGATAATCTAATTAACTGGTGGAGACGTCTACATCAAATCAGAAGAAGCTACACTCATTTTCATTTCATGTTTAACGATACAAATCCACCTCTATTTCAACATTTCTTTTGAGTAATAGAAAAACACAAAAATGCTCTCAAGATTCAAGCTAATGCAATTAAAGTAAAAGACAATTTTTTGATTTGGAATGATCTTTTAGTACTCATCCATGAGGCCCTTACAACAAAGGGACATTAAAATTTCTTAGGATCACTTGCACATACAGCCACGAGCCTTACATTATCACATTTCTTGAACCTAATTGGATAACCCCTACTTATAGAGTAATTTGTCAAACAAAGCTTTAGTTGGTGTGGTGATTCATACCTCTCTCCAAGAACTGGCTTCATATTCTTCCATTTCACCTTCGGATCATGGGTTGAGTATTGAAACTGCAATTTCTCTTCATCGTCACCCTCACTATCACTCTGCTTCTCTTGTGGTGCTTCATCTTCCGACATTCCTTCAAAATCATTTAGGTTTATCTCAGGTATGGTGCATTCGTCAAACGCTTCGTCTGTGAGAGTATTTAGGAACTCCATCTTTGCATCGACTTCTTTGTTTGTGTTTGAAAAACGCATCCAATTCCTTGTTAATGGCATCGAAGTCATCTACTGTCTGCATTATCACTACAAAACAAAAAGTTAATCAAATATTATAGCGGAAACAAGATATTGGAGGACCACGTGGATTTTCTTACCTTTGATTCTTCTCAGGTAACGTTTTGCTTCGATGGAGGGTAAGAAAAGGTTTTTACAGGAGTGGATGACGGGGAGGTTAGTGGAGGGTGATAAGGACGAGCCAGCTGGGATACATGCTATTTGAAAGACCCTGTATAGTGGTTTGGTCTACGCATAGTAGTTGATAGTAGTGGGTGTGTAGAAAGATTATTTTGTTTTGAGTTTACGGTCAAGGTGTGTTTACGGCCGTAAACACATTCCGGTTGTAAGTTGAGTCTATAAATAGGACGTTGTGTCAGACTTTATTGGTTGTTGATGCCTTCGTATTCTCCCAAGTTGTATCAGACGTTTTATAGCTTTAAAGCGTATGCAAGCTTGGTTTTTGTTTTATATTTACTTATTAATTCGTGTTTGCATCTATGATTCTCTTTGATCATTGGTAGATCTGTTTTTCGGGACTTTACAATTGGTATCAGAGCGGAACCAGTGACAAAGACGTTCAACAACTGCGTTTTCAACTAAATCGGTATTCACAGCAACAAAGAGGGTTTCTTTCCGGTCAAATTCAAAGGCTTTCGAAGTTTGTGGCCTGAGCTTACGGCCGTAAACTCCTCTTCACGGCCGCAAGCTCATCCACCGAAAACAATTGTTTCACACAGTTATATATAGCCTTCGAGATCAAGTTTTAATCCTGGCATTTAATTGAGTTGATTTTAAAAAAAAATCGAACATTTATATTTAACTTTCATGGGCCGTAAACTGGTTATTCACAAAAAATCGATTTTCTGTTAAGCGATAATCACACCATTATTTTTTTGGAGTTTAAATCAAAAGGTGTCTTAGGACCGTAAACTCGAGTTTATGGCCTTAAGGTTTACGGTTAAGTCAATTGCTACATATTAATTAAATTAATTCCTGAATTAAAAATAACTTATTCTCTTGACCGTAAACTAGTGTTTACGGCCAGAACTTATTCTCTAGTTTACGGCTAATAGATTTATTACAGTTTATCTCAGATAAATTTTTAAAAACACAAAATTCAACTCAAAACAAAAATGGAAACACAAAATTCAACTCAATACCAAGAACTTGACGCTGTGATGGGGACAACTACGCGTATTCCCCGACTTATGTCTGCTGATAGCTTTCCCGAGTGGAAGTATAGAATCGAAAAATACATAAAGATGAAGGATTTTAAGATCTGGAAGTGCATAATTAAAGATCCTATCAGAATCACCACTATAGTCACGGGACAAGTGGTGGATAAGAAAATCGAGAATTATACCGATGAAGATTTCGAGACCATCGAAGAACAAGAGAAGGCATTGGCTATTTTGACTATGGCACTCTCACCAGACATTGCACAAGGTTTCAGGGAATATACTTCTGCCAAAGCTTTATGGGAGGCACTGATTGAAGTTTATGAAGGAAATGAAGATATGCGAGAAAGTCGCCAAGACATGTTAAGGCAGCGCTTTAACATGTTCAATTATGTGCCCGACGAGACTCTTGAAGCCCAGCTGCAGCGGTTTACAACTCTTAATACTGAAATGATTGTAGCAGGGATTTTCTACACCAAGTCTGAGATCAACAAAAAGCTGCTCAATGCACTCCCAAAATCTTGGGACATGAATGTAGCTGTGATTAAGAAGACCAAAAATCTAAATCGCCTAACCCTGGCTGAAGTGATGGCTGTCATCAAAGCATGTAATATTGATGACAAGCAAAGAGAAATAAACCATGTCAACTCATACTCGACTGCAAACCTTGTCATTTCATCTAACAATGCTTTGTTTTCCTTTTCTTATCCATCTGCAGGCTTATCCTTCAATGCACCTCCACAGACTCAGATACTCTCTCATCCATCAGCTCCCACTCTCTCAATAATGCCTTCAAATGTGGGTTATTCTTCCTCAAAGGGAAAGGAAATTGATGAGAACATTGTCTTTGCTGCAGGACTTATCAACTGTTACAATGCTCTTGTCGCTGGAGAACTTCCTCCTCAACTATCGTTTGCTGATCTTGATCAAATCCATCCGGAGGATGTGGAGGAGATGGACATCACATGGCAAATCGCCATGGCTGTATTTAGGGCAAAGCAATTTGCCAAAAAGATGGGTAAGAATAACTGGGGAATGAGCGTTGACAGGAAGGTTGGGTTCAATAAGGGAAAGCTTAGGTGTTTCAACTGTCACGAGCCAGGGCATTTTGCTCGTGATTGTCCTCACCCCGACAGAAGACCCAACAATGAAAGATCGATTGTTGCAGTGGGAAATAGCAAAAGCAACGGGCAACCAAACAATGAGAAGGCTATGGTTGCACAATCATTCGAATGGGAAGATCAGATACAAGCTCTCAACATCTCTGGTCTAGAAAACGCTCATCTGGCACAAGTGAAGGATGATACACCAGCAGGGATCGTTGCAGTAGAGGACGGCATGATGAACCTTCAGTTTGCCTTGATGGTATCTTCTTCCAATGAACCAAATTCCTCCAAAGTTGTGACAATCGTCAATCTTGAGTCAAGTCAAGTCATCAAGTCAAGCCGGTCAACTATATTAAACCTTATGTATTAGGGTAAGTGTTATGTTCGTATTGTATAACTTGTTATGATAATGGGAAAACATCACAGGAGAAAAGTTTGTGTTAAAAAAATTTCCTAAGCCTTCGCATTTTAACCAAATAAATCAAATGCGATTCACAAAATTTTCATTCCAAAAATGCGAAACTCCAGGGACAATAATTGAAATCTTCTGTTTTCTTCCCCAATTCGCATTCTACTGAGAAATACTTCGCATTTTCATTTTTACACCTTTCGCATCCCTTCGCATTAATCACCTTCGCATTTTAACCAAATAAATCAAATGCGATTCACAAAATTTTCATTCCAAAAATGCGAAACTCCAGGGACAATAATTGAAATCTTCTGTTTTCTTCCCCAATTCGCATTCTACTGTGAAATACTTCGCATTTTCATTTTTACACCTTTCGCATCCCTTCGCATTAATCACCTTCGCATTTTAACCAAATAAATCAAATGCGATTCACAAAATTTTCATTCCAAAAATGCGAAACTCCAGGGACAATAATTGAAATCTTCTGTTTTCTTCCCCAATTCGCATTCTACTGAGAAATACTTCGCATTTTCATTTTTACACCTTTCGCATCCCTTCGCATTAATCACCTTCGCATTTTAACCAAATAAATCAAATGCGATTCACAAAATTTTCATTCCAAAAAAAAAATGCGAACACAGTTTAGTTCATGAACTCTAAACTTGCGAAATCAAAAATTCATATGTTGAACCCATATGCGAATATTAACCCAATTGACTTCAAATTGATTCATAGATGCGAACACTCGATTGTTTTACTTTCGCAAAATGAGCATCAACAACTCCACAATCGAGTTTTTAAATTCTTGCAAACAACAGTTTCATAGTCCTTGACTTCGCGTTTTTTCTTCACGAATCATCCCTCAATCATCAATCCAATTGCGAATCAAAACTCATATGTTCTTGCTTTATCGATTCATCGACTACACTCATACAAATGCGAACAATACTCAATTTCAAAATCGATTGAAACTTATAGCAAAGCTAAATCCAACTTCGCATTCAAAGCAGTGTCATTGATCCGCAGTCACAAGCAACCACCCCACACCCACTCTATGACCAGCCATACCTCCCCACCTTACCTATGTCACTTCAATGTTCCCTTACACTCAAATTTCACTCACTCCCACGTTTTTGAGCTGGAACAATCAACCACACTCCTCATTTTCTCTCATTTCTCTCATCCCACTAAGTAACAAACATCACTCTTTCTCTCAAACTCTTCTACACAAATTTTCGAGATCCAAGGCTGGATTCAAGTGTTCTTCCACACTTAGTAAGTAAAAATTCATCCTCCCTATTATTATTTCGCTTCATTCTACTCAAATCTTTGGTTGCTTACACAAACTCCCTAACTATGATGTTAGATTCTCGAAAACCTTCAAGGCATCTCCAAGTGTTCTTGAATTAAACACTTCCATTCTTCAACAATCATCTACTGAAATCACTCAAGGTGAGTTCATACCCCTACATTTTCATGATTTCTCAAGTTTTCAGGGGGGAATACAAGTTAAAACACTAAGAATATAACTAGATTTTTCTAACAGCCTTCATCAGAAAAGTTCAACTCCATTCACGGACTGTCTTGGGCATCTTAAACATTTTTGTTTTCAAAACTGTACAAGGTGCAAATAGTTCGAGTTTTTAGCTTTAAAATGGCTACTTGCACATCTCCATACGATTTTTCTACAATTTATGGTGATTTTTACAAAACTGCCTATCATTTCAAACAACAATCCGGACCAGTCTGTGATTTTGGACTTTTTCACCCAAGTTAGAGGTCATTATAAATTGAGATAAAATTTATGAGCAAACTAGACACATTTTGTGAACTCTCAAAATTTACGGATCTAGTTTTCGACTTCGTATGATTTTTCTATGATTTTTCCAAATACAGGGCAGAATGGCTAAAGTTAGCCAACAGCATGTAAATATCATAACACTTTGTATTATGTTGAGCAAAGTGTATAATCATAAGTTCTAATATTTGAATGTGTTTCCATGTTAGTTTATCATTATGAACTGGAATTAAGACATTCATATTAAATATTAAATATTATTCATTCATTTTGGAACACGTATTATTAGACTATAAGAGGTATAGTTTGATAAATTCACAATACTAATATATTTTCATAAAAGAATTCATACATATTACAAACATTTTAGATAAACTATAACAGGTATAGTTTATGATATATCACTCTACGCACTCGTACAAGAAGGGTACATTCATACAAGAAAGATTTCTATTCGCACACATTTCACGAAAGTTAATCTATGTTTTGATAAATTCACAACACTAGTTACATTTCCA